CCTGTGCTTCACAAGCTCCTGCATTTCAAACGAGTTACAAGAATACATGGTAAAACATAGGATGGAAATACCTCCAAAAAAGCCTGAGATCCTTCTTCTCTAACAATGGTTTGAACACAATCAATAATTCCTTTGTACTGGTTTGAAGATCCCTACATACAAGAAAAGGAAAAATTCATCGACTAAACAACATCCAAATGGATAACAAGATCTGATGTAAAACAGTTGAAATACACGTGAGAAACTCGGAAAAAAAAAAAAACTTTAACCTAATATGTAGATTAATGTGTATGTGTAGTTCGCCAAATTTGAACAGATTGGAGTGTACCTGGACCATCAATCTTGTCTTAATGACATCTAGTGGTGTAGTTACAGCTCCGGTCAGTGCACCTATGAAGCAAAAATGTTCAATTAATGGAATGTTTCATACATATGTAAATATGCATGAGAAATGAACTTTTCTACAGCATCAATTCCATGTCCCTTCAAAAAACATGGAAAACCAAAGTATATAGCTCTTCTACAGAAAAAGGGGGGAACACAAACCAAAAGCATATTTGGAGCTTTAAGTTACCAGCTAAAGCACCAATTATAGCATTTTCTGGATCATTTAAATCTCTCCTTGCCTGCATGAGCAAATAAAGAAAAAAAATCAATTATTTTGCATATATTTATGCACTCTCTGGATCAAGAAACAGAACTGCTTGAGCCAAGATACAGAACCTTAAATGACAACTCTACAAAATAAGATTGAAAGCTTGTGATCTGAAAATTTTAGCATAGGAAAATAGCTGAAAAATCTAAATCACCATCTCATTAGAAAAAGAGCTCAAGATCTGAAAAATTTACATAGGAACCAATCTGTAACTGTAAGACTGTAATCACCTTGAGAAAAGAGGCAGGGGACGGTGGCAAGCGTGGGTTCCCGGCGGTGCGAATGTGATAGGTTCCCACCGGCAGTCGTGAGTTGCAGCACAAAGCCGGTGATGATGGATGGTTGAGGCCTGAGGGTTGCTTCTTGCTTGAGCTTGAGCAGCGGAGAACGGGCGATTGGGCGAGACACGAGATGAGCGACGATTCCGTCGTGGGTTGCAGCACAAACCAATCTATAACTGACGATGCCGTCAGTGATGGTGGATTGGTGGTTGCTTGGGCGGCGAGTCAAAGACTAAGAGAAGAGAGATAGAGGTAAGAGCCTAAGAGGAAAGACGAGACACGAGATGAGCGATGATGGTGTTCAAACTCCGACGAAAGGCTGGTTCCTGATGGTTGGTCGGACGATGAGGGGTGACTGGTGATGGACCGATGGTGGTTGCTCGGGCAGCAAACTGCGACGGCGAAGGGAGTGAAGGACAAAGGATTAGGGTTTTCTAGGGTTTTGACTTTGAGAGGTAAAATGAATGAAAGAGTTCAATCAATCGAACTAATGTTATTTTTCATTTTCTTTTTTTTAACTTTTATATTATATTATAATATATATAATAATATAATATATATAATCGGTTCGGATATTTATCAGAACGGATCAGTGTATATCCGAATTTGATCCGATAATTTATTCGGTTAAAAAATAGTATCTGAATTTGACCGAATATTCGATTTGAATTATCCAAATTCGATTCGATTAAACCGAATCTCAGATTCGAATTCAGATTTTCGAATACCATTTACAAGCCTACTCTCTCTCTCCCCTTTGTCTTCCAGTTACTTACTGTCACTACAACTCTCAGTAGTTGTCTCTCTCTCTCCCTCTTCCCATCACTGTCGCTGTAACTCTCAGTAGTGGTGTTCAGATTCCCTCTCCTTCTCCCTCTCTCTCTCTCCCCCTGTCTTCTCACCATCACCGCTACAACTCTCAACAATGGCCGTTCAAATTTTAGTCTTAATAATTTATTATTATTTTAATATTTGAATCCGAGGATAGCCACTTCAGAAAAATGCCGCCCATATCCAATCTACATAGACAGGCAAGGAGTGGTCCATTATTCGATTGCGATTGACTCCTTTTTAGCAAAATACTTAAAATAGATTATTATAATCATGAACTTTAATTTATGAAATTACCTTGCTAATATCCTATGCTTAGAACAACGACGTTGGCATCTGAACTAATTTCTTTGAGCGTGACTACTGACTAGTAGTGTGATCGTTGATGGGCGAATTACATTTTTATTAGATCCCAAAACAATTAATTTAGATAGTTATCCAAACAACCCTCACTATCAAATATTAGGATTAACTAAAGACAACAGCATTAACTCTGTATGGATGTATGTCAGAATTTCTTTGTAAATTTGTTGTACTTTTTATTTAAACCAATCCACTACAGACTACAGTGGCGTAGATGTGCTAACTACTGTTATGCATTAAAGTTCAAATAGTAACTTAACATTATAAACACCCTCTGTTGGAAAACACTTGGATAACAGGATGGATGGATTCTCCTGAAAATGGAGGGGCGGGATATTTGGGGCTTGAACTTTGGTATTCCTTGTTTCTTCTCCCAAAGTTCCAAATTTGTCAGCTTCTTAAAAGGAACAAAGAGATTTTTCTTCCCTCATTTTTGCCTTTTCAAAATGCCCAAAATCGAAAATTTACTCCAGATTCAGATGGAGGAATTCCTAACCTAGATATACTAAGAAAAGAGGTTAACCAATCAGATGTGAGTAGGGAGCTTCCCTACTCAACCTACTTCATTTTAGCCACGAGGAATCTTGTAGCCAATCCAGACAGACCATTCAGATAATGAAACCCTCTGGATCTGCCATGTGTTGAATCCTACTGTCTAGTCAGACCTCAGTCCAACCTTGAATTGGGGGTTTGCTTGATTAAAATAGTCCTCTAATTCTTTTAAGTCAAAAGAAACGATCTGTTAGAAGGGATTAGAAGAAAAGTAAGAAATGATTTACTCGTATAATTTGATGAAAATTGGCAAGACAGGATTCATGTAATCAATTCTTTTAAGTCAAAAGAAACGATCTGTTAGAAGTAAGGTTTCCGAACCGCCATTGACTCGGACGGTCGGATCATTCGACCTAAGAATTGTCCAGTCAACCAGTTCCATTTTATCTAAAACCCGGTTTTTGGTCAAAACCGTTGAAAAAGTCAACAACCCGTTGATTTAGACAGTCAAACCGTCAACTCGTTCAACGATTTTTGACTGTTTTTTATTTTTAATTATTTTTTTATTTTTTTATATTTTTATTTGTTTGTCAGAATGGGCCATCCATTCAAACTGGACATTCGGACCATCAACCTAGAAACCGATGGCCAGAACGGTTCCGTTTCCAAATTGTTTTTTAAAATGTTGATTAGAAGGCTTAGATGATGATTTAGACTCCTATAATTTTGAATATTTGATATATAATTTGATGATGGATATTGGCAAAACAGGATTCATGTAATCAACCCCATATAATTGGGACAAGGCTTAGATGAAGATGATGATGATTAGAACAACTCACAGGCTGAGTTTGGGTCAGACTTAGCACTTAGGCTCAGTTTAGAAGGAGTACGAATACAAATATGTAGAGTGCAAAGCCTTATATTTTGTATTATTTTGTATATATTTGTACTATAAAATTTTGTATTTGTACTCCTTCCAAACTGAGCCTTATTAACAAAAAAATGCCCCATTATGCAATATCTTAATTCTATCTTCTAATTCCATATTTTTAACTTAATCTGATGGGAGATATACAAGCATTAACAAAGAAAGCTATAAATACATTATCGGTTTGCACCATACTCGGTAACAATACAAGATTCGATGCCAAAATGCAGCGAATCTTGGAATTTTGGTCACCTTTGTATCCAATGGGACTTGCTATTACGTAGCTTGACAAAAAAAACTAATATTTTAAATGCCACCTATAATACAACTAGGGGATTGGAATTTTGGTCACCTTTGTGTCCAATGGGACTTGCTATAACGTAGCTTGACAAAAAAACTAATATTTTAAATGCCACCTATAATACAACTAGGGGAGCCTTTAGGTTCCTGATTCCTCCCAACCATATCGAACTACCTTGAGACCTAATGTAGGGCTGGCCATTGCTATAAGCCTACAAATCAACTACTCTATAGAATAATATATGCAGGACATAGGCCTAAAAAAACTGCACTTAAGACCTTACTAAAACAGTGAAACTCCATGTAGCAGACATCTACAATAAAGTAGCCCAAAATCTACCGAAATAAGGAGCTCTGTGTTGGAAAATTGGGTCATTGTAACTTTGGAGGAGAAGCTTTGAGATGTGTCTGAAGACACTGTCTTTAGAACGTTATTTGCCCCTACTCAGTTTCACCAAGTTTGCTATTGGATTACAGGCAAATCCATTCTCAGGATACAACAAAGCCTTGGACGAGAATCTACAACCAGCAAAGTTGAAGAATCTCCGAAAAAACCTTCTGTGAGACTGTAACAGACCGGACTGAGAGAACGAGAGGGAAAGTGGATTTCGATCTTATCAACGGTGATCAACGGTCAATATGGCACCAAAATCAAAGCTGCCCTTCGTGAGCCACGCAGGTGCGAGCAAAGTGCGCCTCATTGTGCTGCACACGCGCGCACGCACGTTGCACAGTATCAAACCCCCATACTCTCCTCTACTATTTCTAAAGAATGTAAATCAACTCCTATTAAAATATTCAAAACAAAGTTTATAATTTTCCAATGTGAGACATTCAAAACTGGGTTTTATAAGAGAAAAACTAATTTTTCAATCAAGTGTGTAGGTGCAATTTCTCATGTAATTGACAAATCAAACCCATTGGACTGAATCTCTTATGAGATTAAAATCCAATACTCTGAATCTCTGACTACATTTTCTTTTTTCTTGATTACCAAATCTGGAGTTCAATTAGCCACTTGTCATAAAAAATCATGAACTGGATCATGGGCCCAGGTCCTGGAGATGCCCGAGAGAATTGGCCGGGTAAAAAAACTGTATTATCTCCTTGATCAACTGTTGAGCTCGTTTGCATAAAGATCATTTCGTTGATTCTATCAGGGAACGAGTTTCCCCGTTCCCCTTTTAATTTGTTCTATTTAGAAACTATTAATACACGATCTACATGTCTGGCAAAACATGCAACACAAATGAGAAAACCAAGCGAGCGAGCACTCAACTTGTATTTCAATTAACAGTCAAACGTCCTTGATAGTAAGAACTCGACATGCAGAAAACTCAAACGTTCTAATGAAAAGACTCAGCCGGACGAATCTGCAAAAGAACCCCTAGGTTGTTTGCATCCGTGCTCTGGAATCAGATGCTCTGAGGCTGCTCTTTTAGGTCTCAACTGCAAATTAATCAACCGTAAGAATCTAAAAAAAAATAAAAACAGAATATTTAAAATGTATCTCCCATGTGTGGTGGTGATGTAATGCAAAGTGCGAAGTCAAACCTTCTCCTCAGCACGTTGATAGAACTGTCTCAAAAGAATATTCGTAGCTTCAGTTGATATAACTGGTAGGTAGTATAGAAGTTAGGCAGCGGATCCCACAAATGTATCAGAAAATCGCAGGGAATAAACAAGACAAAATAAAGAGCTGCATGACTATCGAGCTTCAACGAAACAATTAGGTACAAAACTTGCTAATCACGAATCAGTCATCTGAACCCAAATTTAGAGGACAAACCAGAGAGAACCAACTGGGTCAATGCGATATGATCAGGTCAGACTAGTTTGATGGTACCAGTCAGCAATCAATAGTATTATTTGATAACTATTTTAAATTGCAAAATATCTACTTTTACTTTCATTATGCATGGTAATTAAGGGGATGTTTGGAACCGTGGCCGTTTTTCAAAAAACAGTGCCACGTCAGTGATGAAAATCACTCTCATTGTTTGGTTCAGCCGATTATTAAAAAATCGGACATGCCTCGAAAATTGGGACCCCACCGATGCATGAAAGGCCAAGCATCGGTGAACCGTTTCCCCCAACAGTTGACTGATGTGTTATGTGGTTCTTACCTGTCAGCACATACATGAAAAAAAGTGATAAAAATCACCTTATCAAACAGCATAGTGTTGCTCACTGCCTACGTGGCAGAAGCGTTTTTTGTGAAAAATAGGTCTTGGAAGCATAGGCATTTTTTCTTGAAAATCGGTCCCAAAAAGCACTCACGCTTCCAAACACCATGTAAAGACATTTAAAGTTGAGTTATTAATACAGTCCCATTCAAATATAAGATCCCTGAAATCCAAAAAAAAGACCCAAAATATAATGAACTGAAGCTGCGGCAATGAAAGCTTCCTCCATGCATCTCCTTTAAATTCTAATTTAATTATTAATACAACCCTCCTATTTCTCATCATTCTTGGGCTATTCAGAATTGCCCATTTATCCAAAACCATCAACAAATATGACACCCTATGACCAAAGGAACAATGTATTATAAGCAAATGTCGAACTAATCTTTGCTCAATATGCACACAGAACATTCATTGGGAATGTGATGATTAATGATTAGATTTTGTCCATATATGGTCTCTTACATCTGCATAAAAAGATGCCACCTTTGAGAGGATGCGAATTCTCTATATGAAACATGCAAGGGAAGAACTTCCCTTTTTTTCCTTAAGGGCAAAAAGCAAAGAATTTCGCAAAGAAAAATTCTGTCAACCTTCAACCATCTCATCTTCCCTAGATGTTAATGGAAATTCACAGTAAAGACCACAGAAGAATTGCAAGTAACAAAAATTTCCATTTCCAAATCATTCAATTCCTCTCCATTTGGGAACCCAAACCATGCCTTCAGACAAACCATTTATAGCAACTGCTAAAAAGTAAAAACCATTCTGCAGAAAGCTGATGCACATTTGGGAAGGAGAATGACAGAAATTTCCCACCACAGACATGGTGATAAAATTAACAGAAAAGTACGGACAGGCCTAATACAGATTTCTGATTCCCACTGCAAAGCTATAAACATTTAGAAGGTCCAAAAACCACACTGTATGCACCCATACCCGCCCGTGAATTGGCATCAATTCCGAGCTGGCACCTACCCCAAATGTACTTTGAGCCTACAAATTGACCCTGGGGTTATCGGTCATTCTCCCAAAAATTAATTCTACCACTCTAATAATTGCTACACCATGGTTACCTTGTTCGGTATTTTGTTTTGAGTGGTCTGCCTCTCTAGCTAAACCCTTTACTTGTATCTTTCTCTTCTCTATTATTTCCAGTTAATAAAAATTCTCTGATCAATTTTTTATATTTAATTAAAAAATCCTACCTATACTTCAGTTCAGATGCTACCAATTATTTGGGATCTTCAGTGCCCTCTTGGACTCCCATAAGCTCCCTTCCACAGCCACATTAATATGGTCACATTGGGCCAGATACCCTTAGCCACATGCTCATATATACATGAAAACCCTTTGATGTTCTTGGGCCTTGAAGATATGAGGGCATTTATGCATGGCCCAAGTAAATGAGACCGCCTCAATCATATAGGGGCCAAACTCATCATACCCATGACCAAAGGATAAAAGCAAGCTAGCCCCAATGCTAATCTCCTCCTACTTGGGAACTCAATCACAATTCAGAAATACCAGAGCCTGGGGGCTAAGCCTTGAATACAATTTTTTTTTTGGAAAAGGTAAGATAAATTTATTAAATCAAACTAATAAAAGTACAAAAACAGAACCTGCCAACAACAAGGCAGGCCTGAGAACCCCCCATTACAAGCACCAAATTGACTGATCTCTCAGTAACTGAGTTACATTTATGTGTCTGAGTTCTGGGGTGACTGAAATCCAAGAGATCAGTTTACCAACAGCCATCTGAACTATTTCCTCGGGCCCTCTCACTCTTTGTTTAAAAATTCTGTTATTTCTCTCAGACCAAATAGCCCAAATCACTGCTTCCGGGATAGAAAGCCAGACCAGTCTCCCTCTTTTCTTCAAATTACTGAGCTTCCAACTACAGAGCAACTCCTTAACCGATTTAGGCATGACCCAACATATCCCCACAGGCCACAGCCTTCAAGAAGTAATACCACACCTGGGCAGCAAACGGGCAATGAATGCAGAGACGATCTGTAGACTCCAGATGATCATCACAAAGGACACAAGACTTATCCAGGATCTGCAATAAGTCTTGTGTGGCAATACCACACCTTGAATACAATTCTTAGTTGATTAAATTAATAATACAAAAACCTAGAAAAGAAGTTGACCATCCAAGGTCCAATGGCAGAGGTGTCCAGATCCCCCCTCCCCATCTCTCTTATTGAAGTTAATGCGTTTTATTTTGTTCCAGCTAGGATGCCTCAAGCAAGCTCCTGCTGCAAAACTGAAACATGCCCAAGACAAAAATGTCGATGTGCACTAGAATGCTATATTGAGCAACACCATTGCTTGCTTCTTGAAAACCGGAGTGCTAGCAGCATGATGAACAAAGTGAACACATTAGTGTGGTAATCAAGTGAATAGCAGCAGGCAAAGGTTCAAAAGCCAGAGATGTAGAAAGTGGGTTGAGGGTGAAGGCCTGGAAGAGGATTAGTTCTGTCTTTGAGAAGAGTTTCTTGGGGTTGCTTTTTTTGGGTCAGATATATTGAAAGTGAGTTTGAGTGTTGATGTTCTACGATCCGTTCTCTCCTGGTCGGGTTTGTGTAGATTGTGAGTGATTTGATTTCGTTGTAGGGTTTTTTTTTTCTTTTTCTCTTGGGTGATTTCTTATCACCTTCCCCTTGTAATTCCTCTTATTTTTAATGAAATTTTATTTTAGTATAAAAAAGGCTCAAAAGCCAGTCTGGTCTAGAGCACCCATGCATGGTAACAAATGAATGTGCACACTAGTATGCAAGCAAGCTCCAATAGCAAATGATGGCACATCATTAGCAAAGATGGGTCCTAGTGAAAAGGTCCAACATTCTAACAAATACAGTACATAGGAGTTTGTTCTTTCTTTGATGGGACCAAGTGCTAAAATCAGAAAGAAAAAAGATTATCCATTCTCTCATCAAGAGGAGAGGGATCTTTGTTTGACCTTTATTTTGTTAATATCCTCTTTGGATTACCAATCTTGTTTTGCTATTTCAGATTCCTTTTCTATGAAAAATGGTAAGTTCATTAATATAAAATGTCACATATATTTATCCAAGAAACTGTGTATCTGATAATACAAAGGAAGAAATAGAGTCCAAGGCACACTAAAAGAAAAGAACCAGGGCTGCTCAATGACCAATCAAATCAATATACAGAAACATTATCCAAGGCTAGCTCACTCAATGCACCTTAGTGCATTACTTTGCAAGACTATCAACTATAGAGCTGGTAAATCTAGGAATACAATGGAAAAGAAATTCTGTCTATAAGCCAAAGATTTCACACTCTAATTTGGCAGTATAATGCCCATACTATCCTTCACCTATCCTATCAATATATGGAAGCATCAAAAACAACTTTCTGGTGGCCCCATAGATACTGATAGTAGATTGCGAACATGCATCAGTCATAAAAGTTCAGCTCTTCTCAACTCCCAAAGGCCCCTGGGTTGCCTATAGAGCAACTGTCAAAGTTTATCTTAATAGAAGTCTCGGAACAGGAACCAAATCACCACTATCTCTTCTCTATAGAATATGATTTCTCATTCAAGACCACTCAATCACAATAGATTTCATTCATATATCTCTAAAGATCTCCAATATTTGTATGCAATGTATGGCCCCAATAATCAAAGGATCAATTATAAACTGATAGGATCTCTTCTTTTCTAGTGTTCCAGCATTCCTTTCTTCCATGTACCTCAAAATGCCACTTTTTTTTTTTTGATAAATGAGCGGATTTTATTAAACCAGCAAATAAGAGTTACATGCAACCCGTGGAAAGGCATGAGATGCGACCTTTCCTTTAAAGCTAATTACAGAATTATAAGTACGAAAGAAATTACACTGAAACCCAAAATAAAGTATCCCGGGAAACCCCTTATTTTGCAAGTGAATCAGCCAATGAGTTTGCTGATCTGCCTACCCACTGAACTCTGATTGTCATATTCCTTGTTAACCATTTAACATTTTTCAGAAGATCTCTAAAACCCCAAATCACAGTGTCTGGGTCCTTCAGCCAACCCACTATCACCTGGGAATCCCCTTCAATAATCAGATGCTCTATGCCTAGCTGATTTGCAAGCTGGATTCCTTGTACAGCAGCCAGTAATTCAGCCCTTAAAGAGTCTCCCACACCCGCAGGACCTGAGTACAAAGATATCACGTTACTATCTTTGTTTCTCAGCACTCCTCCTATGCCTGAAAGCCCTGGATTTCCTCGGCTACTTCCATCAAATTTCAGCTTGATAAACTCCTCCCCTGGTGGCATCCATTCAACCCCATATCTGTCCTTCCTGGTAGAAGTATTAGCCACTGCTAACCAACTTCTCCATAGGTCATCAAAAGAGTATGCATCAAAGATCTTTAGAGTTTTCAGCCACTGAATTGCCCTTGTCAAAATATATTCTTTAACTTCCGAGAAGCTCCTTTCTTTTTCACAAAAGATTCTGGTGTTCCTTTCTTCTCAAACTGTCCACAACAAAGCTGCTCTTATGCACTTCCACATAATTCTCCCTCTCTTTGTGTGCCATTCAAAAATAGACGGACTAAACAACAAATTAGTATCAGATGGCAGGTTCCACCTACACTCAAACAACGTAAGAATCCAATTCCATAAAGCTGTAGCAAAAGAGCAAGAGATCAGTAAGTGGTGACAGTCCTCATTCTGAGATTTACAAAGAACACACCAATTAGGGGATAAGCACCAATTTACAAAGAACACCTCAAAATGCCACATTAAGGATACATATAATCTCCTTGCACCAAGGGAACACAAAGTTGAATACCAGCCTCTAATAAATGCCATACATATTCTTGTGACTAAAATGTCAAATACTGAGATTTAGTAGTAAAGTTTTACCAGATTTAAGACAGAAAAATAATGGATAAAAAGATGTTCACTGACACCAAATCCCCTTCAGCCATGCAAAAAGCAAGCAGCAAACCCCCATCCCCAGTATGTTAGCAGGGGATATTACGTCTGACTTCTTTTTAACAGCTCCCAAGCAAGGTCCAAAGTATTAATACAATACACCAGATATATTACCATTTGAGACACAACCATAATGGATAAAAAGGTGCCCACTGAATCCCCTTCAGCCATGCAAAAGCAGCAAACTCCCATATCAGGCATATTATATCGTAATTTTGGCCCATCAATACACTAAATAACAACTGTTTCAGGAATTGACAACTTTTAGGGCATAGGCAGGCCCCTGTAAAATTTTGAAAAAGAAAGAAAGTTGTGTACCTTTGAAACACCTGATACACAAGTTGATGCATATCAGGTGTATCAACACTTTGAACCTTGCTTCCAAGTACTAATGTTCCTATGAGCCATATTCCAGCAAAAAGGTTGGAAAGCATATTGGAATGTTATCTTCCTTTTTAAGTCCTTTTATGGTGTCCTCTAAGGCCTGGCTGCAGATTTCCTTCCCATGGAAGAGGATACGGAAGTGCCATGTTCCTCCTGAGATCTAACTATTCATTTGGAAGAACTTTGGAGAACACATGCAGTTATGCAAAGGAGTTGATCATCCATCTACTATTGTACTGTTGATAAAAAGCTGAGGAATGGGCTCACTTTCTAGTTTCTACAGTTTTTCGGAAAGATTTGCCTTCTCTTATTTCTTCCTGACTGATGAGAGAGTACTTGTGGACATTGGACAATCCTTCAGAACCTCTTTTCCTATTCTCCTTGTAAACTGTAAAGGATCCTAGAAAGAGATAAATAGCAGGATATTTGAAAGGAAGCATTCATCCACCGGTACACTATTTGGAAAAGTTGAAAGAACTTAAATAAGATGAGCAGTAATGTTGAAGGACTTTGAAATGCTTCGTTTTGAACATTTCAGGCTGAATTAGAAGAGTATACTTTCTGAATTTTGATGTATAGAATTAATTATATGTATCCGCATGTTATGGTTTTATAGCCGACCCGATATAGTTGGGATAAGGCATGGATGATGATGATGATGATGATGATGATGTGCATGTTATAGTTTTATCTCATTATCCATGTAAAGATCATAGTATTTTCTCCATACTCCTTAGTTCTATTTCACATTCTTTGAGCTCCCATCTTTAGTTGCCACTTTTGCATGTTAAGAATGTTCATTGGTAAAGCTTTTGCGCTAGTCAATGCCCAGGCATAAAGTTAGCAAACTGAACCACCAAATACTCAAACAACTCAATATCTAATTAGCTATTCTCTAGAAACACCACAAGGTTGTGATTTGAAATATATGGATTTATCTAGCATTGCATATAGTAGAAAACCTCAAACCTTCTAGATCTTAGGTATATACATGTTATTTGAATAATTTGATATTTATGTATCTTACACTACTACACAGTTTAAGCATGCAATTGATGATATTTACATGATGACTGAATTGTCTTGAAGATCCAATCAGCATGTCCAACAACCTTCGCCATGTCCAATCAGGACAAAGGTATCCATCCACACTGATTATAATTATCTATCATCTAGCACTAGTACATGGTTTAAACATGCAATTGATGATATTTACATGATAACTGAATTGTCTTGAACACCCAATCAGTATGTGCAACAACCTTTTCCATGTCCATTCATCAAAAAAAGAAAACCTTTTCCATGTCCAATCAGGACAAAGGTATTCAACTAACATATCTACAAGATGGTTTGACAAAAACTTAAAAATTTCTTGTCAATCACTAAAGCTTGCATTCTTGATTTGCAACAGAATATAAGGAACCAGAACAATAGCTACAGCATATCACGAAGTATGAACTTCTAGCATGAAACGTCCAATACTATGCAACCAAGAATTATACTATAAACCCATTTAGCAGAATTAATTTAAAATTTAATGTTTTTAAAACCACATTTCAAGAAAAAGTAGATGCTAGCAAGAAAATGATAGGGTGAGATAAACAATCTGTTTCTAACCTTGATTAGGGGGTGGAACAGTCCGATTATGAGTAGGATGATAAGTGGCAGGTGTAATCTTCTGAAAAGAAACAAGAACATGAATTAAGGCCTATACCAAAAAGAAAATTGCCAGGATGCAAACTTGTTACTTTCTTTGTTTTTCAATTAAAATAAACTGAAACCACAAATTATAACCTCTACCAAAATCTTATGAGAAATTGAGAATATGCTTTCAGAAATGGGCAAACACTAATGAACAGATAATAAGAAAAATCCATCATCTTGAAAGACTTACCAGAAACAACAGGAGGAAATGGTTGTGGAAGTAATCGCAGTTAGACAGGCAATTGAAAAGTGAAGGTAAGCACCATGACAAAGAAAAATGAAAATGCGGAAGCATTACCAAAATGACTCTTAAGAAAGAAAGTATTTTTAGGAGAACCCTGTTTACCTGTTATATTAAATCTCTAGTTTATATAAAATCTTATTTTGTTTAGTGTTTATAAAAGACCATTATTTGTCATTTTACTAAATTTCCTTTTGCTATCATTTTTTTATCAAGAACAACTAGAAATTTTATTAATGTAATATATGGTAGTATCCCTGCACATTTGACTAGTGACAGGGGAGAGAAATAAACTTTCAATCATACAGCATGCAACTGAGAAAAAATTAAAAGTATACAATTCAGAATTAATACTACTGCAGGAACTGCCAAACCTGGACCCCCCCCCCCCCAAACATAGATTGACCTCCCCATCCCATCCCTTGCTAATCGATCAGCTAGAGAACACTGGCCACCCTGGGAGTCCAGTTGAAAAAGCTGTTAAGTGAAGTAGCCAAAATCTTAGTATCTCTAATCAAAAACCTAAGATGCCAAGGGCTCTCTTTAAGGACATCTATTACACAGCAATCTCCTCCTTAAGAACTAGAAAGTGCCAAAAATAGAATATATGAGATTTTCCTTTTTCTTGGCTGTGATAGGAGCTGTATAGTTAGAAGAAAGTTCTTCAAGTTTGTACTTTGTAGAACATATAGGTCACTAGTAATAGGCATTTTATAATATTCCTTTTCTTTTTTTTTTTTTTGAGGGGGGTAGGGGGAGAGGTGCAAATCTAGGGTCTATAAAATGGAGAACTTTTGTTTTCTAATTGCCTACTGTCCTGAAATGAAGTGCTGCTAGTTGTGGGGTTAAACCGAGCAATCTAGTACTAAACTGGTAAGCTTTTCATATAATATTTACTTGAAAATCTCAAAAATGGTGATGGTTTCCCTGATTTCTTTATCAGGAAACTTTGAAATAATAAAAGAGAAGTGGATAACCAGTGCATTAGAACAAAGCTATAAACAAGAAACTCATGGTAAAACTTTACTACCAAAGGAATTCAACAAGCATAGATACTTTGTAATGTAAAAATGGATTACCTGTGAGCTAGATTTGTATAATGACCATAGGCATTTTATAATCTGTTTCTTCAACAACCATGCTATTACATTTCCGAAGTTTCTAAACTTGGCTGGAGTTTTTTTTCTTTTTTTTTTCCAACCTTATTGGGAAAGAAAGACCTTAACCGGTTTAAACCTAACAGATGAATTTGATGGCCACAAATTTTCTCCTTATTTAATTAATAGCCATCAGCATTGAAGGAATTCTTTTACTACAAATAATAAGTTTTCAACGGATAAACTAAAGCATCAATACATAATATTAAAGGATCTCCTCTAATAGTATATACTAGTCTCCACAGTACCATTGTAACTCGCGCCTCCAACAGGTCTTTTCTCACATAAAGATTTCAGGTCGATTACCAATTCTCAGTCGATTACTCGATTGTATAATAATTATAAAAAAAAAATCGACCTCAAAATTCGCAATACAAGAAAGTAAATATACTGCAAACCCTGATTTTGCACGAAAAGAAAGCTAGCAAAGCAAAGGGACCGAAACTACAAAAACCGTGCAAAGTTCGGAAAAATGAAAGAGACGGAGAGAGAGGAACCGAATCAAGGCGAAAACTCGTAAATTAAAGTACACGGAAGACGTGATCGTACTTTTAGTCAGCTAAAATTAGGAAACAAAACGAAGATATTAACATAAAGCCAGTTCTTACAGAGGGATTGGAGGGATCCGACGGTCGAAGTTGGCTGAAATTGTGAGGATTGTATGAAGGCCAATCACCAAGCATAGACCCCATCAAAAGCTGCTCTAGAAAAGTGAAGACTATCGAGGAGAGAGAGAGAGAGAGAGAGAGGCTAGAGCTCCATTCTAGAGAGCGAAGGAGAGAGGAAGCCCGGGAGGGGAAAAAAACAGGAAAATAAGAGGGAAACGGAATGTTTACAGTTTTTTACCAGGTGGAGAAGCGGAACAGACCAAACTGCCCTCCCTGGAAATCAAACGTAGAATTACTGGAAACTCCTCCTTGTGCGTCCTCTGGAGTCTGGAGTTTTTCACCGTGGCCCGTGGGAGAATTATTAGTTGGAATAAATTGCCGAAACCTCCTTTTTTAAGTTTTTCACCGTTGCTGAAACCTCCCTAAGTTCGGTAATTGCAATGAAGTAGACTGCTTTTGTTAAAATAACTAGAGAATGATAAGTACATTGCTTTTGTTAACCCTCCCTAAGTCATCGGCCCGGTATCCCGACGGCCCAGCGCAGTCTCCGGACGGCTTGTACATGTTTTTAATCCCGCGGGTTTGAAATCGAGCCCAAAACATCAAATCCGAATAATTTTTGGGCCAGGCTGGGGATTTGTCAAAAAAAACTCAGCCCGAGCCTAAACCGGCCCGACTTTTAATATAATATAAAATATAAGTATTTTATTTAGGATAAATTTCTTAAATTATCCTTGTGTTTAGATAATTGACTAGCTCTATCCTTACTATTTGAAAATTGACTAAGTGTACCTTTACTCTTTCTGACAATTGACTAAGTGTACTCCTAACCGTTAAACATGGACACAAAGGTCAAATGCCCGTTATACCCCCTATACGAAGTTACATTTTTATCCCTGATTTTAACCTAAGTCAATCCCTCTCAAACACTCGCCCCATCTGTCGAAAGAGAAGAGGGAGGAGTGCCATCCATCGACAGCCTGACGCTGCCATCATCACCAACGGCGGTCGCTGCAAATACCGAACGGCGGAGGTCTGGCAGAAGTCTGGCGGAGGTCAATGAGTTTTTTTTTCTTAACACCCCTTTTTGTTTGTTTAGCGTCAATAAACCCTAAACAAAACGGAGGTCGATGAGCTTTTTGTTTTTTACTGAAGGAATCTATAGTGTCTGACTAGAACACAGTGTGTTCTTTGTCGATTTTGCAGGGTTTTTTTTTTCGCTTTTGTAGTGAGTTCTACAGACGAAATAAGTGTGCTCTTTATTGAAATCTGTAGTTTTCTGAGGTATGTACAGATGCCTTGTCTGTGGTAGGGGATCATCTCTTTGTGAGGTAAGGGACCATACTTTGAGATTCGTGGCCTATGGCCGCATTCACATCGATTCTTAGACCGAATCATATGGCGGTTTTGGGACCCATGTGTTTGCTACAGTGCAAACATTGGATCCACACATGACTACTTCAGAAAGAAAGGGTTGTGTTGCTAATACAGGCTAATGCAAGTTTGAGCAACACTTGTACATAGGCTATTTTTTACCTGTTTTGAAAGATAAGTTGTATATGTCCTTTCTCCCTTTAAATATGCTGTTGTAGCCTGCATAATTGTTCTGTTACTAACAAATATACTTAAATTTAAATAATGGGCAAACTAGAATGGTGTCAAAAGTCTTAACAACCAACCCACTTCCTAAGTCACTAATCGAGTTAGCCTTTCCCTCTTTGGCTCTCTTCAATCTTCATCATATTCTCACTCTTACAGTTCTCAAGCTAGCAACCATGGACACCAATGATGTTATGGGCCCGCGAATAGGATCTCGTCACGGGTCGGTCCACGGGGGAAACCCTCTGTTTTCCCTTGTTCCTCTCTGTTCTTGATGAACCTATCTAGGCGCCCTAATGGTGATTTGTTCAAGAGATCACCTAACTTTCCTTTATTCTCTTTCTTGACTGAATATTTGATATCCTCATTCAGTAATGGTGTCTCCTTAAATAGGAGATTACAAGAGTCCTAATCTTAGGGAGTCTCCTTGCTGAATAGGGAGACTTCCAATTCTATCTTGCTAAGGGTAAGATAAGCTAATCCTAATCTGATAATGATAACAAGATAAACTAATCCTAATCTGATAACTTACTAGCAAGATAAGATAAGAGCAATAGAATAAGATAAGAACAAGCAAGATGATCTAATCTAATCTGGCGGTGGGGTCAGGTTCCTGTTGCTGTCGGCGGCGATGGTACATCTTTCCGAGGAATGCGTCCATAACAAATGATTCAACAAACCAACAATATCCAACAGTGGCAAGTCGGCGACAAGCTAGTAGTGGCAAGCGGTAGGCCTGCAACCATTCTTTTTCGCCTTCTCCAATGAACCAGCTATCATTGTTTTTTGCATTCTTGAGCAAGTAGCAGCGATAACCAGTGATCTCAGGTAGTCGCAGACAAGTCATTTGTGTGTGTAGACCTATTCATGGGCCGGGTAGCCCGATGGCCGGGCCTGGCCCGGCCCGCACCCCGATCGGGCTTGGTCATGTAATTAGGCTCGCGGGTCTGACCTTGGGCCTAACACAGTAAGCCCAACTGTGTTACGGGTCGGGCTCGGGATTTGTCAAAAAAGCCTGGCCCGAGCCCGGCCCGACCCGACTCAGCATTATATATTTTATAAAATACATAATATATTATATAAATAATATAATATTTATTGAAATATATATATTTATAATTTAATATATACATTTTTTTTTATTTTTTTCTTTATAATTTCTCTATCACTCTCTCTCTCTCTCTATTCAGCCTCTTCAATAGTAGTAACAACATGGGATAAATTTCGGGCTCGGGCCCAGGCCCGGGCCCAGGCCCGGGCCCGGGCTTCGGGCTTTTTATGAGGGTCGGGCTCAGGCCCAAGTTGTAGCCCGATGGTCGGGCCGGGCTCGGGCTCGGGCCTTAGAAAAATCTGTTAATACAGAGTGAAAGCTCGGCCCGAGCCCGAGCCGTCTCGGCCCATGAACAGGTCTATGTGTGTGTGTGTGTGTGTTTTCAGGCTTCAGGCTTTTTATGAGGGTCGGGCTTGGGCTCAAGTTGTAGGCCTAATGGTTGGGCCGAGCTCAGGCTCAAGCCTGAAAAAGTTCTATTAATGAACAATGAAAGCCCGACCTGGCCCTTGAATAGGTCTATTGCCAAGTGTCAACACCTGATTTCTACTCAATTCACTATTGAAACCCCAATTTACACCGAACACCCAATCAAACCATTCTAATCCTTTCGAAGTACCTAAAAATCCCCAGATACCATCATCAAACCTAGGACCTCCTAAAATATCTACCCCTAAAATTTCAACCCAAGATTCCCCTTCATTTATTCTTTTATCACACAAAGATTCCCTTTCAAACCCTTTCGTTAGCCTGAAGCACCCACAACCCAAATCTCCTTGATCCTAACACCTCTAAATCAATTAGACCATACAATTGAATCCTAGACACACACCAAAAACATGGGCCTAGCTTTTAGTCTTCATTAACAAAACTTTTTTAGGCCCAAGCTCAAGCTCGGCCTAACCATTGGGCCTATAGCTTGGGCTTGAGCCCAATCCTCCTAAAAAGCCCGAAGCTCGGGCCTAGTAATAACTTTAGACTCTAGAGGCAATTTATCCTAACTAATAATTCTCCCGCTTTGATTGGTATTTACTATTTATTTGATAAATCTATTTTGGGTTTTTTATGTGTTTTTTTTTTTTGATAAATAGCCATGTTTGTATCACTTCAAAGTGGATTGAATGTATTTGAATAAACGACTTCTAAGGTAGTTAAACAAAATGTAATATTTACTTAATTATTTAATTAAAGATTATTATTTCTTTTAATTAGTAATGGTGATGATTATTTTCTTATGTTCTTATTAATAATCAGTATTTAATTATTGAGTATTATTTTTTTTTCGATAAGTGTAATTACTAAGTATTATTGTTCTAATAAATTTTATAATTATACTAAATTTTGATAATTTGCATAACTTTAATGCACACTTAGTTTTTGAACTGTAGGGCTCTTATTTAAGATTAAAATTCAAATTTGTTTGTGACTAAAATAACCACTTTGACCGTTTTTTAGGAGTGGACGAGCCCACTTCTAGATGCTATTTAATTAAATTTTAGGAAGCCACATGTTTGAAGGGAGGGGATTGTTACATAACTTTAATGCACAATCAATTTTCGAACCTTAGGGCTCTTAATTAAGATTAAAATTCAAATTTGTTTGTGAATGAAAATAACCACAGTTTTTTAGGAGTGGATGAACCCACTTCTAGGATGTTGTTTAATTAAATTTTAGGATGCCACATGTTTAAAGGGAGGGGATTGTTGCCTGACGACCTTCCTTTAATGCATAAATAATGGATTTGACCTTCATTTAACAAAAGATACAGAAATGTCCAAAATACCCATACAATTATTATTGAAGCTGATTTCTATGGTCAAAATAATACAAACTTTATGAGCAATAACAAAAGAAAAGAGAGTTTAAAATTGTAGGTTGATATGAAGGATAAATTTAGAAAATAAATCAATTTTAGAAAAGAGATGAGAAGACTTCGGGTAGAGATTGATATGAAGAAAAATTTTAGAAAAATAAGCATTTTGGTAACATAACTATATGGATATTGTGCCTCGGTTAGAGGACTCTAATAGGAAGGTCTATTTGCAACTTTATCAAAAGGTTTAGGAGATAATTGCAATTACCAAACTTTAGGAAAATTTTCAAAAATGGTTCAAAACTTTAGGGGGAGATTTTAACAATTTACCCTGTTACTTATTAATGGATAAGTTCATAAGTAGGGATGAGCATTATTTAGTTAAAATCGAAAAAAGTAAATAAAAAATTTCGGTTTCGATTTTTTTTTTTATTTCAGTTTTTTGGTTTTTAAAAATTTTGGTTTTGGTTTTGGTTTTAAGAATTAAAATTTCGGTTAACTGAAAAAATTGAATTAACCAAAATTCATTATATAATATATAATATATAACATATAATATATAATATGCTATATATTTATATTAATATATTATATTATATATAGTATATTATAATGAAGCTCAGTTTCATAATATATATTATACGTTATAATATACAATATCTTATATATGTTAATAAATTTCGATTTTAACTGAAATAACTGAAAATTTTGGTTTCGGTTATTTTAATTTTCTTATAATTTAATTTCAATT